CCGACCCGTTTTTCTAAAACTTCGGTTTTTCCCTATAGCATGTAAACTTCAAATTCGCATAACTCACTCATTTCCCGTCAAAAATGACTGTAACCTTTAGAAAATGTGTAGTTTTACTCGGACGATCTAGCAAAACAATCAACAAATCCCGTATACAAATGTTTAGTCCAGAGGATCTTCCAGAAACCTCTGAAAATCCGATGGTTCTTTAGTGAGTCACACCCAAGTTTTTCGTGTTGGTCTATAATCTTCGACTAATGCTGAATATTTTCTAAAGGTTACAGTCATTTTTGACGGGAAATGAGTGAGTTATGCGAATTTGAAGTTTACATGCTATAGGGAAAAACCGAAGTTTTAGAAAAACGGGTCGGCTGAAGGTCCTTCGTTCTGAAGATGAAAATAAATAATGCCATGATGATTAGCATAGCTGATTACCTGTGTCTCGAGTGTTTTTGAGATTCCCAAATCACCAGATTTGGAGATAGCATGGTCTGCGTAGAACGTCTCTAGCTCTCATACCATAAGAGTTGGAAACTTGGAACTTATCGAGAATTGTAGATCAATATCCAAGGTCTCCAGTCCACTATTTAGAATCGAAAATTCAAAACTTCTTCAATGATGAGAAGTTTCTGCAAAACGTTTTGAAGAGGCTTACCACCTGCAGGTGGTATTTCTAAATTTATTTTCCCATAAACGGATAGCCCCCAGATTCTACTCTCTAAAACTGAAAACTGCAACTCTCTAGCTATTTTTTGTCAAAAGTTATTGAAAGAACAATGGAGTGCATTATATTTTGAAAGGGACTGTAGATTAATATACAAGTCTGCACAGTCTGTACGATTAATCACATTTTAGAACCGAAATGTATTTATCATCGATAAATAAAAAAGTATTATTACGTATTTTTGATATAAGAAAAGTAGATGCTAGTAATCAATTACAATCGCCGTTGTTGATCGAAACACAAACAACGAATGTTTATGAATTTGTTTGTAATCAATCAAAATGCTGTAAGTTCACATACTGAATTTTTTGAAAATAAATAAATCTTTTTTTGAATTAAAACAGATTTGATTTGTATATTTATTTATAGCTATTCATTCTAATGTAGATTATTCATTGTACAATTTTAAACATTTCGATTTGCGTTCATTATTTGGTCTCGACGACAATTGTCTGAAATCATCATCAAAATCAACTTATGTATCAGTTACAGAAGCTTTAACTTTTAATTATTTTCAATCAAATTTTGATATTATTGGTCAATTAGAATTTGTAAACTCGATAACAGATCAGAATGAACAAATAAGGTGAAATGGACGAGTATATAGTTTATCTAATGTTCATTCTTAGACGTAAAACGATCTGATTTTTCTTTTGCTTTTGTTTAGAACTATTGTTATAGTTACCGATGACAATGGCGTTTACTTCGAAATTCAATTAAAAATACCTAGTTCACTTGATCTGACTGTTGGTTTGAAATATATCTTCTATGATATTCACTTAATTAATCGACTAAATTTCGATCAGTTATCATCAACATATCATCAATTGTTCTCTAGACCACCAAATGTTTTATATCTCTTTGAATCAATGCATTCTCTTTATTCTATTTTATCTTAGATATTGTGGATGACGGTTTTTTTTTGTAATAAAGAAATTAGAAATCAGTGAAGATATTGTGAATAGATCAATTTGTAGAGAACTGAAAGAGTTCTAAAGCAGACTAGTTTAGAAGAATAGTTTTTTCCTTTTTTTGAAAAAATTTAACTTAAATGATCTAGAGGTCGCTTTTTTATCTAGTCACACATGGTATGTTGAACTTGCAAATCAATGAAGGTATCGTGAATAGACCAGTTTGTAGAGAATTGAAAGAGCTTTCTAATTATACGTTCATTTGTTTATATGTTCCTGTAGCACCAGAGAAAAGTGCAGGAGAAGGATTTTAATGGTGCTGTATAATGTCAGCTTCCAAGTGAAGATCCTACCTGGATTGGAACGGTTATAATCACTCAAAACCACCTAAAATCAAATGTTCATCGTTTTCCGCTGCTCATAGAACCATTCTGAGGAAAAAACAAAAATGGGGCGATTCTTTAGCACCTGTCCTTTCGATCCTTAGCTAAATATCTAAATGATGTAAAGAGAATTTGTTTTACTTGATATCTATAATACAAATTATTATAGCACTCGCGAAGATATCCAACTCAAATTGAATCTTGTACTCATATGTACAAGCATGAAAATTGATGTCCTTGAGAGCAGACATGATTCTAATGTCATGAAACATAAGACATAAATTATCCAGTTCTACGGTCAAGGAAGAGAAATAATTCTCATATCGTCTCATTTTTCTTGTTTTTCTTATCAACAAAGAAAATAAAATTAAGTTGTATACTTTATTTTTTCTTCAGGGTCAGACAGAATGTATACAAAGTGCAATCTAAGGATAAGTGTATGTAATAAATGTTTCAATGTATTGTATTTTCAATTTTTCTCATTGAGCATGATAGCTAGAATAAACGTGAAAAGCGATTTGAGTAACTGAAAGAGTTTGCGATAAGAAATGATAAATGCAAAATTCTATGAAATTTCTATAAATGAGTTTCCTAGAAAGCGAAATTTTGTTATTGTACGAAAGATCATAACAACTTCAATGTTTATACAATGTTTAACTAACAGTTTATTTGTGTTTTCCAATGTTTGATGAAGACGTTTTCAACGTTGAAACGTTATAATTATGTTACTTTAACAAAGAAAAAGTTTTTGTATAAAAATTGAAGTTATAATGATCTTTCGTACAATAACAAAAGTTCGCTTTCTAGGAAACTCGTTGATAGAAATTTCATAGAATTTTGCATTTATCATTTCTTATCGCAAACTCTTTCAGTTACTCAAATCGCTTTTCACATTTATTCTAGCTATCATGCTCAATGAGAAAAATTGAAAATACAATGTAGTGAAACGTTTTGCGTACACTTTGTATATTGACAAATGAATGAATATGGAAATGCAGTATTGCTTTTTGTTCAATAAATTAAGAATTCTAAATTTTATGGTGAGCATATCGTTTTTAATATCTCAACATTTGACAGATTATCTGGGTAGTGTAAGATATTGATTAAACAAAATTTTTTGAATACATAGTCAGGTTCAGTTCGATAGCAGAAGGTTTGATGATGAGTTCAATAATAATACCAAAAAGTAAGCTTACATTCTTCTTTCATTGATCGTTGTACAGCTGTGACATTTTACTTTTTTCTGCTGTATCGTCTACTATCTTCTTCTGACAACATGTTTTCGGTATTTTTATTGAATGGTTTCTATACAACGTACAACAGTTGTGGTGTTTGATGCTTATTTAAAAAATTACAAAACTAACCTTGTATACACTTTAAAACTCAATTCAATAATAAAATGAAGTTGTTCTCTTTTGTTTCGTCTCTTTATGTAATTCAAGACATTATATTCAATATGACTCGTCGTCTTGTAGTATAAAAAAAGTGTGGGCGTTCTGTTGCTTTGAGTAAAACATAGTAGTGAACAATTGATGGTATTATCCAACGTGAATATTGAAATCATTTTACTATTTATGACTTATACATGTATTGTAAAAACAATGCTTATGAATATTATTGCCAACTATCTTCAATCAAAATGCGTTTAATTATAGATGACATATCTGAACTGAACGATAAAAATGTTCTTATTGATTCGTCCGCTTCTACATTCATGCTAGATCAAGGTGAGATATAGACGGAAAACTACAAAAGTTTCATCGCATATACTCATTTAGAGACGAATGGTGATATAAATACCATACTCGTATACATCGGTCTTGCAACCGTTATTATTATCGTACTCATTTTTCTTCTAAATGTAATAGTCAAATGTAGAAAAATGTTTAAAAAATACGATGATGACATTATCTCAGGCAATAATAAACAACAATGTATGTACAATCTTCGAGACATTTGTATGTCATCTTCAACAGCAGAACTCATATCTTTTGTTTTCTTTTCAGTCAAGCGAACATCCTCGACAATCAGTCGAATAACGTCCATTTCATCAACAGCAATCACTTCTCCATCTCTACAACAATCACAATGTTTTCTATCAAATGTATGACTGTCATCTGAGCAACGAATTTTTCGTCAAATGCTTCAGATAGTAAATTAGTTTTTGTTTTTTAATTTTTGTATTACATAACATATACGTTTTAATATTAAATAGGAGAATAATTCTGTTTAATCATTTCTCAGATACGTTCTAATTGAGAAAGACTGTATTTTTGATTTTTTCTCAAAACCTGCTGAACAGATTCTCTCGAGCAACATTCTGTTCGATATAGAATAGAATTTTGAATAAAATGAAATGCTTTTATTGATAGTAAGATATACGGATGGTGTGGTAAAGATAAATTTTTTGCGTGTTTAGCAAAAATATCTAACTTAAGTGCATGGGTCTCACGTAAAATTTATGTCATTTTGTAGAACTGAGAATTCTCTACAAAATATGCGCAAAAGAGAACAAAAGAAAGTTTCACCTGGTGCATTTTAGGGCCTTACAAAGTAAATGGGTCAAACCTCAAAAACGGATGATTTGTGTGTTTTTTCGTTTTTCTCCTATTTTTCCTTTCCGTACGAGAAAAACTGAGATGTAATCCATAATCTACGATAAAAATTCGAGTGATTGACGCATTTGAAAACTATCAGATACATACAGGTTAGTCGGTAGTGCCTGCACTTTATATGTAATAAGTATATAGACTTCTAACCAAATTTGTCGTTATAGAAAAATTATACACTTTTCTATAATATACTGTTCGACAGCCCTTGAAATTCTCTACGAGCTGAGATAGTCAGAATATCTTGACAGGATAGACCAGTCTTCACGAACATGCAAAAAACATCTTGGACTACAGAAAACAGACCCAGAGCACTCCTTTAGTCATTTTTCTGTCATAACGGAAACTTATATATTTTGCAAAAAGATACCATTCGATAGCGCGTGAAAGTCTCTATAAAGTGAGCTGGTCAGAATATTTAGACAGATGGGGTCAGTTATTAAAGATGTGCAAAAGGCTTGTACTTGTACAGTGTTTAGTAAAGTATTCGTCAAGTTAACCGGTTATTTGTATTTCTTCAATTTATTTTGCAAGTACTTTTTTACTAACGAAAAAATCCAAGTACTTACGACATTACCGGCCCAAGTATTTGCACGCAAGTACATTCTCTACATACTAAAAAATAATGTATGGCATGTGTCGCAAATTGTGACATATTCTGCGACACAATCATCTGCGACACCGGGAGCCACTTGTGACATATTTTCATGTGACACATTCCGCTGGATATTTCTACCATAGAGAAAACAGTAGAAACTAAGTATTTTCGGTCTCTTATTCGATTTTCGATTAATGGCAACACAATTATGCGACACATTCTTTTGTGACACAATTTTTTCACAGGAGCTGCGACACATTTACTTCGACACAAAATGCGACACAATATTTTTTACTGTGTAACGCATGGGCGTATTAAGAAAACTCATTACCGTTCGTGTTTAGCATGAGAAGTTGTTAATGTTCAAGTATTATGGTTCTGCACGATCTTATTATTAGAGCTCATAAAATAAAGTTATAAGAAGCGACAAGATATTAGTAAATAGAATGGCATCAAAAATTCGCAGAAATAAATAAAAAAATTCTTCATATATTTTTATTTTTGCTGTAAGACGGTTAAAATATAATAAAATACACCTACTTATTTATAACCAAAATGTAACTCAGATATTGCCCTTTCTCATGGCGAAAGAATGAGTTTGTAGCTTTTGACATACTTTTTCGATTAGGTGGGAGCATTCCCTTACCTTGTTTCGATCAATTACTCCATAAACAGTTTTGAGTTACTCATTTAGAAGTGAGTCAATTTTTATTCGGTGGATGTCGTATAAACAGTGAGAAACAGAACGGAGTCGCATGAAAAGATTGATCATTTTAAGTAATATGTGCTTTGACGCATCATACTTCATCAGTTAAGGATGATACTGATACCTATTCAGCCAACATCAAAGTTACGCACTTAAAAATAATAGGCTACATTGTCTTCGATGTGAGCAACCTATCTGAGTACGTTCTGGAGAAGTGGCTAAATGTTTCTTCACAGAGAAACTAAGAAATACTCGGGTCAGGTGCTCTAGAGACAACTGTTAAATGTACCACGTTGAAATCACAAGTAACGGACGAAGATATTGATTTTATTGTTTCAAACTTTTATTCTAGACCAGGCAGAGCGAAATCTCGAAATGTCAAA